ACTATATATGGAGGATCTAATAAATTAAGATTTAACTATCTGAAATCAAAGGCACCACAGCACAGGTATCTACTCTTTTTCTTCCACATTTTGGGAGAAGCATTTCACCCTCAGGTTTCCAGCTACTCATGCCTACTACCTCCTACTTTTCTGCTATGCCAATGTGTATTCTTGATGTACAAAACATCTGATAAATTTTCACAGGAAAGTGATCCATTTCGATAAATGAAAAATTTGTGGGTATAAAAGTTCAAAACTTTAGGGTCAGAAATATTACAGCTTTTTTGAGTTCATTTGAAGTCTGATTTCTAGAAAAAAAAAGCATCTTAAAATCCATTTAGAATTCAAAATTAATGTTAGATAAAATAAACTATAAATACTGTTCGCCCTGTGGTTGTAAGTTCATACTTGTCTCCCAGATCTTTGGAAAAATATACAGATAGCCCAAAACATACAATACAGCATTTGAATATCAAGCTTCACTTGCTTGATGCCTATGGTATGTCTGAGAGTCTGAAATCAGAAGAAATGGACCAGTAACTGAAACATTGAAATTAACATGCTAACCCAAACAGTGAAATAAACATGAAATTAACTCACCGGTTGAATGCCTTTACATGGTATTACATCTAAATCAGCAACAGTCCAGAAATAATGAAACTTAAAAATGCCTATACAAATTCAGCACAGCTTTTATGTGTATGTAAATTATAATACTGTCTTCAATTCCTTTATTTTAGCTTCTCCAGCACTTAGTGAACATAATTATAGTTCTGACTGTTTGGCTGGCTTATCAATACAACTTTTCACACTTACCTTACAAAATATGGCCATACTAGACACACAGAATATGTCTAGTAAGCATATCTTACAATTTAAGATTAAAATGAGTACAGACTTGCTTCTTTGATAAGCATTTCTCAATTTGATACTACTATTCCATTACGAACTGGCTTTTATTTGTGTGTTCCCCATAAAGGCCTTGAGGCCAGCAGGATTATTCCCATACCACATATATTTCAAAAATATAAGTCCCAAACACCGCTGTGCTTTTTTCAAGCATGCATGGTATCTGGTAAGCATTTTGCCATGCTTAGGGGGAGGTCCCCATGGATTTGAGCAGCACTTAGAAATATTAAGCATTTCTACAAACAAAACTAGGTTTCTGAACCTGGGAGCCCAAAAAATGAGAAACGTTATCACCACTGAACACATTGTCCTAGTGTCAAATGACTAGTCCATAACTAAATAAAAAAATTTGGCAGAAGTGATTTTTTCAGAGTGACATTTCATTTCATAATGAGCCATCCTTTTCTCCTTCCATAATCTTCTACCTTTTTCATTATGTTTTCCAAATTCAGCAATATTTAAGTGCTTCACAATACAGCTTTGATTCTTCACCCATACTAAATGATCCATCTGTCACACTAAATGAGGCAAAATACACCTGAAAAACTAGCATACAATCAAGTTAAAATACAAAAACAAAAAAGAAAAAAATACTTCTATCATGTCTATCATGGACAATACTAATCTGCATTTTCAAGCTTCTAAATATTTCAACTTTTTAACTTTTTTATGAACTTTTGTTCTGGGTTGGATGTTATGTTGGGTTTTTTGTTTGTTTGTTTTGGGGTTTTTTGGGTTTTTTCCCCCCCAAAAAAGGAATCTGCAGAGAATACAGTTGTCCTAGTCTAATAAGCCTCTGCTGAGCAGACAATTTCATGTTTGTTTCTCCCTTCCCTCCTGTAGGCTTGTCTCTTGCTAAAAGTTTCACAGCAACAGCAGAAATTTAACACTCATGATGTATCTTCCAATTTTTGTGTCTTGGTCCAAAAGGAGAATACACTATATACTCTTCTCAAAGGTTACAGGCAAAGCAATTAATTTCCTCCTAAACTTATTCTGAGAGCTGACAAAAGGAAACTGATTAAAATACTTATTAATAAACCCAAATTCTTAAAGAACAAACTAAAATAACTTTCCCACAAATCAAGACTAGATACCTAATAGAGAAAAGGTCTAAAAACGTTAAAGTAATTACAGAAGGCATACGCAATTTTGACTAAATACTGATACTTGTATTCAGGCTTAATTATCCTTGTAATTTTTTTTTTTCATTTTAATAACACATTCTGCAGGTTCCTCCTTCCTTCCTTACCCTGCCCTACCTATCTTTCTGTTTGTCACTCTTTATATGTAAACAGTGTTATATGTTCACAGCACTCATTTCACCGAGGTAGTAGGCATCAGAAATACTTCTGTTATGCATAAAAATGGAGCTAATTCCAGCCATAAGGATTTATAGAAAGCTAAGGATCTTTGTTCCATGATTAAGCCTGCCAGAAAAACATATGCAACAAGTTAACACAAACCATTTCATGCACAAGTTCTATTTATAAAGCAATTCTTCTACCCTAGCTACCCCGCGTAATATATATTTTGTCATCATAGATACAAGTACTGCTTCCTCTCAAACAACGAACTGAAAAACAAGAGATGGCATCTTTCTCTACCACATAATACAGATGACCAAGTTTTATAACTCAAAAAATTGCCAAGTTAGGAAGAGAACTTAATGTACATTAGATACAACTATACAGAACATGCCTCTGAAGTTTACTGTCATGGTTTAACCCCAGCTGGCAACTAAGCACCACACAGACGCTTGCTCAGTCCCCTCTCAGCAGGATGGGGGAGAGAATCGGAAGA